GGTGAGTTTCCTCTGGGTGCTCTGGTTTCTCCCACAGTACAAGACATGCGCCATAGGTGAATTGAATCAACTAAATTGGCCATAGTGTATTAGTGTGTGTTTGAGAATGAGTGTGTATGGATGTTTGGTGAAAGGGTATTGGCTGTGTAAAACATATCCTGGATTAGTTGATGGTTCATTCCGCTGTAGCGACCTCTGAAATAGAGACTAAGCTGAAGGAAATTGAATGAATTAACTCTCTTTGACCCATAAAATATCATGTTTTTTTTTTCAAATTTCATTTTGCTTGAGCAAATAACCTAAATAATATAACATCAAAATCACCAGGCAAAATCTTCAGTCACCAAGCACTGTTGGTAATACTGACATTCGTGGCCATGCAAAAAAACATTGCACTTAGTCAAATAACAGACAATTGACACAGAATTCTGCAATTAGATTAAGAAAATCACTTATATTAAATCTTCAACCATTATAGAGGCATACATCAGATTCCAGTGGAAGTGTCCATAGTAAGGCTGCTCTTGGTGGGATGTGTGAACAAAGACCACATATGTGCTAGAACATGTAAACTTACACAAAATTGTTGAAACACATAATCAGATTGGACCCTTCCTGTTGCACCTGTTAAATGCAAAAACTGTTGTCATTAGCCAATCAGATTGCCTTATACAAATACCCTTGAGCAGACACTAACCATTCACTTTTACGCACCACTGGACAGTAGATCATTCATTCATTCATTCTCTTTTCGGCTTAGTCCCTATATTAATCAGTGGTCGCTACAGCGAAATGAACCGCTAAATTATCCAGCATACAGTATGTTTCTATGAAGTGGATGTCCTTTTAGCTGCAACCCATCACCAGAAACACCCACACACTCACATTCACACACATTCACTAAGGCCAATTTAGCTTACCCGATTCACCTATAGAGCATGTCTTTGGACTTGTGGGGGAAAGGGGAGCACCCAGAGGAACCAGCAACCTTCTTACTGTGAGGTGATTGTGCTACCCACTGCACCATTGTGATGCCCCACAGATGATTGTGTTGGGTTATCACCCACTTCTCTTTAATTGATCTTCAGCTCTTTATATATCAACGTACCAAAATTCATATTTAAATTCTCTATAATTGTGAATGTTAACTGTAACATCATCAATTTGGAACAATGACTAGATGGTAATTTTGTTCTAAATGTATAAGATGACATGACATGATTGACAACCATTGAATGACCTATTTTTACATGACATAATACTAGTTCTCAACAATTAAGAATTTCTAAGAAATGAGAAGCATGGAGAAAACATGATTTCTGAAGAACAAGTCATAACACTAAATATAGAGCTGGAAAAGGGGATGTCTGGTCATTATAGTTTACGATTACGCAGTGAAACTTTTCCTCTGCTTATATATGAGAGACCTTTATATTAAACATAGGCTCATTCTGAAAATGTAGCCCTATATACATTTCTGGAGATTGCGAATTATGAAGCCAGAGGTACATCTTTGCTGCATTTCATTTTTAAAACAACGCTATGGGGCGGTATGATGCCGTTCCTTTTCGTGCTTACCAGCTGACCGCTTAGCTCCTTTAACTCTGTTACCAGTTTGTCCAGTTAGCTCGCCATATTTATCGGTGGACTTGAGATGTAAAGAGGAGTTGACCACAACAATGGGGTTTGAGTCCGGCGAAGAACTATTCCAGAAAGCAGGTAAGACAAAAAAAGAATCCAAAAATAAAAGAAACAAGTAAATAACAGGGTGAGAATATAGTAAAAACTGAAAAACGTGATAAAAATCAGGCGAGGGCTCTTATTTTTCTGGATTGCTTTTTAAAACTGTTGGTTGGGTTTAGGGAAGTGAGTTTTGTGGGTCAATCGGCGCTTTTAAAAACACTATTGGTTGGGTTTAGAGAAAGAATGGGGAGGGTCAGTCGACTGGTCAGTCAGTTATTCACTCAGTAAACAGTGGCCTCTGGTGGATTTAAACAAGGACAGCAGGCACAAATGGCCCTCGCCGGAGAAATTTGAGATCTGAAAAAGATCATACAGCAGCCTCTAGTGCAGAGGTGGGCAAACTACGGCCCGCGGGCCATATGCGGCCCGCTGAACACTTTCATCCAGCCCGCGAGGGAGTTTTTAAAATGCTGCTTCTGAGTAACGGTTTGGTTCAGAATTAGTAAATTAAAGATGCAATTACAAGTGAACACCAAGTGATGGCAGTATTGCATGCGGTGCAGTTAGAGCAACCAGTAGAATTAGAACACACTCTCAGATATTAAAATGCACTCAACCGTTAATGAGTGAAAATGAGTTAGGCAAAAAAATAAAAATAAAAAAATTGACTTTAAATGTCACGTGTTTAAGGAAGAATGGACAACAAAATACTTCTTCACTAATATCGGACAAAAAGCGGTATGTCTAATTTGCCAAGAAAGTATTGTTGTTTTTAAAGACTACAACCTAAGGGGATGATCACGCTTTATGTGTTAAGAGGAGCCACTTTTGAATGGTTTACTGACGGCCCAGAGGGTTTTGCGCGCTGCTTTTGCGCCTGCTGCACCTCGCGTTTTTGCCATAGCAGAATCCAGAGTTTGACACCCTTGCGAAGAGAGGGGACCAGGCTCATTGTTCACATTAACACACTCATAATAACATTACTTGAAATAACAAAGACTAAGATTCTTCTTCCATTTTATCTCATAATTTTAGGATTGATATGAGCATAATTATAAAAGCTCAAATGAGATTGTTGTACATTTGACTCAAATTATATAATAATTGCTGGTAAATGTGATAATTTTGTCATAGAATATATTTTCCATGCATACATCCACTTTAAAAAGTTAATCAAAGATTTGTGGTTTCATCAAGTTTTTTAATGATTGATCTGTATATTGTAAAAGCAGTGCAAATTAGATTATTGTAAATTTGACTGAAAAGTAATTTTTAAGAACTATTTTTCATGTGTTAATATGAGATTTTTCTATCAGATAATATCTTTTATATTCTCCACTGTAGAATTATTACATTATTAATATTATATTTTATAAGAGATTATTTCATTGTTTTATGATGATTGATAAGTAAATATAAATAGCAGTTCAAATTAATTTGACTTAATAATATATATATAAAAAAAATCTGTTTCGTGTTTTATGTTTCTGTCTGATAATACATGTTGCAATCTGCCACTATAAATAAAAGTAATTTTTTGAAGAATTTGACATGTGGCCCTTCACTTGGTTTGCAAAACTTGATGTGGCCCTCTGGTCTAAAAAGTCTGCCCACCACTGCTCTAGTGGATTCGCGAAAACAAAAACTGAAGAAAATGTAGCTTCTGGGACATATTTGGAGCTCTACAGAAATGAATATAGTGGTACGTTTTCAGAATGAGCCTGGATTGTTTATATTTTTAATGGTTCTGATTGGCTGTGAGGGTTTTATTGTTCATCAGCAGGAAAAATATAGTTCTGACAGTGATTTCAATGATATTACTACTTTATACTGTTATCGTTTTGGTCTGAACTATTGTTTTATATTCTGATTGATTTAAAAATATTTTTATGTTTCTAGATATCGTTCTCTCTTCCTCAGTCAAAATCAACTGACAAAATTCACATTAATTATTTATTTTTTTGCTGGCACAATCACTTTAAGCCTGTCTGATCTTGTTTTATATTTCTATAGGCTACATTTAGGCTGCATTTCATGACTCATTCTCTTGACACAAGGCTTTTGGAATAATAAAAGTGTGAAAAGGGCAACTCATACGAGTCTTAATCTAAAACCTCACAATGCTTGGAAAGTGGTCAAAGAGAAAAACAAAAGGGGTAATTTCATGGAGAATCATGATATTTGTCTTTTCGACACCCTTGGATAATGGACCCCAGATCTGCTGGGTGTATGCTGTGGTTTATTGCTGTCTGTAGATTTTATTATTTTTCCCCCAGAATTCTTGGGTGTTATGGGTAATGCTGTGACCTAATTCAAAAGGGGAACCACCCACAGGAAATCCCCCTGAATGCTGCTGAGGTAATCGGGGTCTTGCAGACCAACCAGCACTTCTGATTTGTGGCTCATCAGAGTTGTGTGATATGACGTTGCAGTACCATCCCTTTTAGTTTCAATGACCCAGAACAACACCTCTCGGAAACGCTTCTCTGTATTGTGTGTCAGAAACAACATGGTTTCCTTTGAGTTTGTGTTACCTTGGGAGCCCACTCTTTCCACAACTACCTCTCCAGCCCACACCCACAGGAAAACACACTCACAAAAAAAGTGCTCATCAAAACACAGGGAAGCTGTCACAGGAAACGGCATTTTTAATGCAGTGAACACATTTACATAAGAAACTTTTCCTGAGCAGGAGCATGACTGATCATGGTTCAACAAAAACACAAGGTGGCTGCGTTATTGCTAATCACACAAAATCTAGCACATTTTTTCACTATAAGCAGAAAAAAAGGTCTTTGAAGAACTCAGAATGTAAAAGCTGATGGTAAGCTGAATTTTGGCCACCCATATATATATATATACACAGTTTGAAGTTTAATTATTAGCCCCCCTTTGAATTTTATTTTTATTTTTTTAAATATTTCCCAAATAATGTTTAACAGAGCAAGGACATTTTCACAGTATGTCTGATATTATTTTTTCTTCCGGAGAAACTCTTATTTGTTTTATTTTGGCTAGAATAAAAGCAGTTTTTAATTTTTTAAAAACCATTATAAGTTCAAAATTATTAGCCCCTTTAAGCTATATATATTTATTGATAGTCTACAGAACAAACCATCATTATACAATAACTTGCCTAAATTACTGAACCTGCCTAGTTAACCTAATTAACCTAGTTAAGCCCTTAAATATCACTTTAAGCAGTATAAAATGTCTTGAAAAATATATATAGTAAAATATTATTTACTCTCATCATGGCTAAGGTAAAATAAATCGGTTATTAGATGAGTTATTAAAACAAATATGTTTAGAAATGTGTTGAAAAAATCTTCTCTCTGTTAAACAGAAATTGGGGAAAAATAAACAGGGGAGGTAATTATTCAGGGGGGCTAATAATTCTGACTTCAACTGCATATAGTCACCTATGAAATTATAATATGTGTAAAATCACTAGCATTGAATGACACTAATATATAATCTTTGCAACTGTCAACCCTGCCAACAAGCTTTATGGTTTAACACAACATTTACATACATTTAGTTATAAATAATAAGGATTTTAGAAAAACGTATTAAAAAGTAATAGGGCATTAAACTAGGGTTAGTTCACCCAACAATTTAAAATTAGCCCATAATGGGGCAAATGCATACAGGGGTATATGCATTTCCCCCCATGATGTCTTTAAAATATGATAGTTTATTTTAACCCAGTTTTTTTTAAACCCAGGAACTACCGTATACACAGTCTTTAATCTCGTTTTACGCTTGAACATCCAAAATAATGCTTAATCTATTTAACTGAACGTATTGTAATTACATTACAACATCGATGCTGTAAAAGAAACTTTATGCAATTGAAAATAGTCACATTAAGCTTTCACCGGAAGTTTATCATTAGCTGAAAAACACTAGCTGTGCATATACCCCATTTGCTTACCCTTAAAACATACAACTTTTTTTTTCCCATCGATTCCAAGAGAAGTTATATAAAGAATTTATCTTCCAGTTCTACTATGCTAATAGTTTTTTCTCTGTCCAAAACAAGTCCAATAAATCTCATTTATCCATAATAAGTGCTTCACATTGCTACAGGGAGTAAGTAATGCTCTCTTGTAGCAAACTAATATGCTTTTGTAAGAAAATAATCAATATTTATTAAGGTACTGTGGCCTTCTTCTTTTGATAATTTTCTGAGCATTTAGTACCACAAACTAGACGTTGTAAGTAAACCGTGGGCTAATATTTACATTTTGGGTTTAATTAAAACTTCGTCACAAAGTAAATCCAAATTTGACTAACCTAATTTAGTTTTTAAAACTTAACAAATTTTCAACTTGTAAACTTAGGCCATTTCCAAGTGTAATGTGTCAAATTTTCATGAACATAGTTTTTCCTGCCTTCGATTTAAAAGAAACTGAAAGCACTGTCAAATGCTTGCCAAATCAACAGGTTGTGGAAAAAGCCTCAGAATAAAGCAACGTTAGCCAATCAGAAAGGAGAAAACAGCACGCATGCTGACATCATTAGGCAAAAAGAGTGTTACTAAAGATTCTGAAAATCTTGGCCCGTTTTCAAAAACGTTCGGTTTCAGTTACCACTGTGTTTTGTGGATTAAATAAGGAAATAGAACTATCCCATGAATCACTGTGAAATAAAAATTAAACTATTTGTCCGTATAAATTGATCTCTTAAGATTAATGAAATCACCGTTTTAAAATATTAATATTAAAAAATAATGCTTATATGTTTATCTGTTTTCAATATGTACCTGCAACTGCAGTTTTATATTATATTAATATGTTCCCAATTACTGTATATCTAAATCAGCAATTAACCAACTATTCTTACATTTTCTGTAGAATAAATGTACCATAAAACGTTTATATCAATCACCTTAAAGATTCAAAGTTGATTATAGTATACCAATATATTTGCGGATTTCCAATTGTCAATACAAATACAAATATATTTAAAATATAAATAGTTTGATTGAAATTGAGATCGTTGGCAGGGCTTCATGGCAAATGGCTGCTTTAAAAAGCTTTACACTTATTTCACATGGCTGCCATTTTAAAAAACTAAAGCGAGGCTGCGGTGGTTAGAAAACCTGGAAGTAGTGGATCAAGTTTACAAAGACGGACAGAAAATTAAAAGTTGCTATTTGCTTAGAGTAGGAACTATACTTTTTTATGGCAAAATAATCAAGAAACTTTCCTGCTATACCATGGCTGCAGCAGGCACAATGATATTGCGCAGTCATTATCCATTCAGAACGGACCAAATGATACATTTGGTCAAATGATAAATTTGTGTCACTTTCTCTTTGCTGATAAGATTTACAGCCAAGTACACAACAACATGACATCACGGACACCATTTCTGTGTGACTTCAGGCGATACTTCCAGGTTTCTTCCCACCACAGCCTCGCTTTCGCTTTTAAAATAGAGATTTCCGTCTGCAGACTGTAGACAAGAATAATGCTGTTAAACACACTTATTGTTAAAACAGATTGCAATATTTTAGGGTGATGGCTTCAAAAAACCCTTATATCACTGATTAACAACCTTTTACATCAAAGTAGTTCTGTTTTTCATTGAGAAAACGAATGGAATTTTTACTTCCGGAACACAACTGTTGCACTCTATTTCACATAAACAGAGGCATCCTATTTGAATTCATGCATCATTTTAGCAGGAACCTATAGAGCATTCAGAAAGTAAATGATCTGTATGAAGATTTGGTTTTTCACTGTCCATCCCTATGGTGGATGAGTTCATAAATCCTCTAGTCTTTTACCTCATTATAAATTAGCCTTTGGATTTTGTGAGCGCACATCATTTAGCCTGTGAACTGTACTCAGGGGATCCATAAACGTTCCCGCTGCAGACTCAGATCTTGATTTATTGTTTTGATTTCTCTTCTCTGTGGCTAAATTTCAATCCATTAAGTGTCAGAACAAAAATAACAGCAAAATGTTTTTGTTTCAGTTCAAATGATACTAAAATGATTGTCTAAGCTCATAATCTTCATTATTTTAAAAGAAAAGATTACCCAGAAATTTTCATTTGCACACAAAGTTACAATCATCCTGAGTTAACAATGACCAAATATAAGAAACCCTCCACTTTTTATGAGAAATATACCCATTTACAAACAGTTAAACTGTTTTACAAAAATAATAATAATAATAATAATTCCATTCAGCTGATCTCTGGGGGTCTGGTGAGAGCACTTTTAGCTTAGCTTGTCCTATTTAAAACTTGACTATTTCCAGTAAGCAATTTTGTGTTTAATAGACATCTAATAGGTATCTAAACGTCGACAGCTTGGCTAAAACAAGGCTAAATTTGGGCTGTCAGTGAAAATCTAATAGACATATAGACAAAAATAGACTAGTCATCAAATAGACAGATAAGACAGACTTCATACAAGTAGTCTTTATTTCTGTTTACTTGATGAGTAGTCTAGTTCTGGCCGATTCATAGACGTTTATTAGACTTTCACAGACAGCCAAAATTTAGTATTGTTTTAGCCATGTTAAGATGTCTATTAGATATCTATAAGACATCCTTTAAAAAAAAATTATATATATTTCTGGGTTCTGTCTTTTACAAAGACCGACAGAAAATTTTAAGTTGCTATTTTCTTAGAGTAGGAACTATACTCTTATTCTGGTGTAATAATCAAGGATCTTCCCTGCTGTACCATGGCTGTAACAGGCACAATGATATTACACATTGGTGTATAGTTAGTTACCTGTCAGGTTTGGTGAGGGAAGGATGCAAGTGTTAAATGATGGGTTTTTATTTAAAATAAAAGAAACAAAAGAGCAACCAAAACAACTAAGTGGAGGAAGACATAAAATAGAAACAAAATTAACTGGGCTGGACTGGCAAGGTATATCCTGTTGCCCAAGATCACATGACCTCTATACAAAAACAAGCTCACCAAAGCCCGCACATTCAAAACAAAAACAAAAAGACAAAAGAAACTTACGTGACAAGACAAGAGCAGTGCCTGGACTGGAATTAATAAGAATAACCAAACAAGAATAAACAAGACCGAAGAGCCCTAACACTTCCGGGACTATTTTTGGTCACTGTGTAATATCATTGCATGGTATGGCAGCAAATTTCCATCATTATTACACTGGAATGAGAGATCCTAGTATGGGATCAGAAGAGTCAAGCTTTAAATAGGAGAATTATGTAAATTGATAAAAAAAAAATTATCAAGATGCTAATAGTCTAATCTGATTCAATGATTTATGCTAAGCTAAAAGTGATCCCGCCAGAACCAAAGATCTTCTGAATGGATTTAAAAATAGTGAAACTCCACTGCTTAACTATAGAGAAGTTGTAAATTGAGCCTATTTCCGTAAAACAAGTGGAATGTTCCCTTTTTATGGACAAAAATTGTTGATTTACACATTAAGCAGCTCAAATGCTTTTTTGTAATTGCCATTACACTGTATGACGATGTCTTCCAGCATATCTCGCTTGAAATCTGGAAAAAGATTCTGAAGCTTCATCACGGTCCATGTATAGTCACCATCTACAAGAAACACAAAAACAAATTGTAAATGTACAAAAGTTCATATTGAAGCTATAGTTAACTTAAAAGTTGAAGTGGTTTTACACCTTTTGAGTCTCTTCTGATGAACACAAAAATACATTTTGAAGAATGATGATTGATGTTGAAAATTGATGATGGCACATATCTACTTCCATAGTAGAAAAACAACTGAAATTCAGTGGATATCAGCTACCAACATTCTTTAAAATATCTTCTTTTGTAATCAAAGCAACATCATCACTTGTTCCTAGAAACTGAAGATCCGTAGCCTCTCATACACATCCTTCCAACATTATTCAGCACAAGATTGACCTCCCTGCTGGTTCATCTGGTTCATGGAGCAGGACAGACAGGGTGGGAGAACTTGTCTCCACCGCAGAGCTTCTGCCAGCCTGTTCCACAAACAACGGCATCTTGATCCCACACTAAACCACACACTAATGGACAAAACTAGCACTATAGTAGACAGATGTCCCATGTACACAGATCCCAGGAATGCCGGATAGGTTTGAAGGCCATTGTTGGACACAAATCCCCAAATAGTGCAAAAAGAAGATAGATGGAATAAGGCAAACCGTGAAAGGATAGGAGAATACTTGCGGTGATAGTGGAAGCTGATAAAGGTATACATGTGGTGTTTCTTGGCGTTTCTAATGCTGTGCTTTTAGAGCTGAGTGATTGGAACAAAACTGAAGGTGAAGAAGGTTTTTTAATTCTAGTTTAATGGGTTGAATCAACTGTAAGTAATCCATTTGTAGGGTGAATTTATGGGTGGGGTTTTTTGGGAAAATTGAAGTCATTATATTTGCAGTTACATTCAGAGATGCTAGTGATGCAGAAATAACGCGTCACCATTAAAAACACTGCATCGGTTTTTCTTCTTTGCTATTTTTGTCTACTTTCCAATACAAATACCCAAACATTCTTAAATCAAGGCAATCTAAATTATTTATGACATTAAGACTAGGAAAATTACTCAATAAAATAAAAATGGACGCATTGGTTTTTCAGGCTGATCTTCTCGAAAATGCATTTGTAGAAGTCTTCCCTTCAAAAAAATGTCTTCTACCAATATTTTTGTCTGGTCTGTTAGTCACTGCGTCAGATGAGATTTTTGACTCCTAAAGTCTTTTAATGTCATGGACAAGAAACATGTCAGATTACACGGTGGTCTCGGACCAATCCTTGCTTGCCATCTTTAATCAATTGTTCACCCAGTTAAAATGTTCTGTTAATTTATTCACCCACAGGTCATGAAAGATGCAGGGGACTTTTTTCAACAGAATAATACAGAAGATTCATTAGTTCATTTTGTTTTTGGCTTAGTCTCACACCACTTCACCACAGGGGAATTAACCGCCAACTTATCCAGCAAATGTTTATGCAGCGGATGCCCTTCCAGCTGCAAACCATCTCTGGGAAACATCCATACACACTCATTCACACTCATACACAACGGACAATTTAGCTTACCCAATTCACCTGTAACACATGTTTTTGGACTGTGGGGGAAAACCGGAGTGGAAACCCACGCGAACGCGGGGAGAACATGCAATCTCCACACAGAAATGCCAACTGACCCAGCCAAGGCTCGAACCAGAGACCTTATTGCTGTGAGGTGACAGCACTGCCTACCGCGCCACCGCATCGCTCCGATTAAAGAATATTTTTAGGCAAATCCGTGGTTCTTGGTAAGTTGTATAATGGCAGTGAATGATACGTATATACACTACCTCACAAATGTCTTGTCGTCAATCCCAGTTGTAAGAGCAACAAATAATAACTTGACTTCTAGTTGATCATTTGGCAGACATCCCAAGACATATCTGAAGAGTGGAGAGGGATGCAGTAGAGAGACGCTTGAATCCCGGGAGTTATCATCTGTTTGCAGGCATCCGTGAGTCTCTATGCATTTGTGGGAGACTCCTAGAACGTCTGAGAGGCATGGGATGTCTGATTTAGAAAAGTGGCAGATTTTTCAGATGAATTATCTGTTGAACTGCAACACAATCCTCACAAATACTGCAGAGAAAGAATAGAAACCCGCATGGAGCCAAGATTCTCGAAGAAATCATTTAAGTTTGGTTAAGGAAAAATCATGATTTGGGGTTACATTCAGCATGGGGGCGTGTGAGAGATCTGCGGAGTGTATGGCAACATCAACAGCCTGAGGGATCAAGACATTTGTACTGCCCTTTACATTACAAACCACAGGAGAAGGCAAATTCTTCTGCAGGATAGCGCTCCTTTTCATACTTCAGCCTCCACATCAAAGTTTCTAAAAGCAACGAAGGTCAAGGTGCTGCAGGATTAGCCAGCACAGTCACCAGGCATGAACTTTATTGAGCATGTCTGGGGTAGGATGAAAGAGGAGGCATTGAAAATTATTTCAAAGAATCTAGATGAACTCTGGGAGTTCTGCAAGAGTGCTTTCTTTACCATTCCAGATGACTTTATTAATAAGTGATTTGAGTCATTGCAGAGATGTATGGATGCAGTCCTCCAAGCATATGGGAGTCATTCACAATATTAATTCTTTTTCTACTGCACCATGACTTTATATTCTATACTGTGCATTATTTCTGTTAAGTCTATTTCTGTTAAGAGCTTACTGTCCTAATTAAATAATTCAAAATCAAGGGCATGATCATATTTTATTTTGGTAAAGTAAACGTAATCTAGAGGCCTGTGCCTTTCATATTAGCCACTTCAGATACCAAATGATCAAACAGAAGTCAAGTTATTATTTGCTGTTCCTAAAACTTGAATAGGCGACAAGACTTTTGTCAGGCAGTGTATACAGTATATCATAGATACACACACACACATAGAATATATATATTCTACCCTATTGAATGGTTTTAACATCAGAAAATAATAAAAAAAATACTGTAAATAGTTTAGGTGAACATGACATCTCACACCAAGTCATTATTTACTGAACAAAAAAGCCAACAAATGTCACGGATGACAAATTTAGGACAACCTATGATTCAGATGCCTGTAGATCCACATTTTTTTGCAGCAATGACTTAAAGTAATCCTTTTCTCTAAGACCTTTTCACTCTTTCAGATCATTCTGGAGAAGTTTTGGTTCTTTTGTACAGCTCTTGCCAAAGAATTTTATTGAGGATTAGCTCTGGATTTTGACTGGTCCATTGCAACACTTTTTTGTTTACTTTTCCAGCTGTTCTTTTGTAGATTTGCTGTGCTACTTGAGTTTGTGTCTTGTTGCAGGACCCGATTTTGAGAGAAAATGAACAAGTAAAAAAAAAAAAAAACTTCCTTGTTTACTTTATCTTGAATGTGAAAAATGTGGTAAGACGTTCACATGAAAATCGTCTGTCAAGATATGTGAAAATTTGTGCACAGAGTGAAAGAAATGCAATATAGACAAATATTCTGATTATCAGATCATTGAGATGAAGTTGTGTTCTATTATGGCAATAAAAAAATATTTTACATTGAAGACATGCAATTTGTTTGTGTCAGTCAGAAAAAAAACACATTATTAAGGCGCTCATTCAAATTAAAATGCAAATTTATTACATTTATATTTAATTATTTGTTAGGTCACATCTTGAAAAATGTGTTGTTTAATGTGAATTCCTGAAAGACAATTGCAACACCGTTTTTGTTTACTTTTCCAGCTGTTCTCTTGTAGATTTGCCTCCTGTAGATTTGTACTTGAGTTTGTGTCTTGTTGCATGACTCAATTTTGGCTAAGCTTTAGCTGTCGGACAGGCATTGTGTTACCTGAAGGCTCCAAGGTTTTATTTTCCAAATTTTAAAGCTTCAGCTCATGTCCTGATATGAAAAATTGGAATTTCATAGGTTGTCCTAACACATTGCTTGAATCAACATCAGTCTTTTAATGTTTTCCAGAGTCACACAAATGATCTGAAATCCCTTCATTTTCAAAGATGATTTGGGAAAAGCCAAAGGTCACAGGGCGCCAAATCTGGGGTGTAACAGCGCTGAGTCACTTTAGTGATTTAATGAACTCGTTGCATTGTCCTTGAAAGCCTTCTGAATCATCCAAATAGTTTCCAGAAATAAATGTTTAAGCTTAATTCAATATCTGATGCAGATTGATTGCTCTGCTTGCTCCGTCATTTCACACATGGTCAGTAAACATCCAGTAATATCATCATTGCCCATGAATGCCCATTCCAGTTAGATTTTCTTGGCTGCCAGGTTGCTTTCGAGACAGAGAACTCTATTAAGTCTTTCAGGGCAATTGGTTGTCGATTCAAGTGTAAAAATTAAGCCTTCCTTCACAATGTGTGCCTCATGATTGTTTGCATTGTTTGCATCCAACACATTTGTTTAAAAGGGACATACAGTAGTGCATTGATTCAACAAGTTAATAAGTTGATTGGCCTGTTTTTTTTTTTCAGTGGGATTTTACATTTACTAGATTTACATAAGAATGAGGAAACAATTGTATCTGAGGCTCACGGTATGCCATGTGCTTTTCCTGAATGCTTATTATTCATCTATGATTAGGTACATCCAGATTTTCTTTTTATAGCACATTCAAGAAATAAACCGCTATATACTATATCAGGATACTGCAGGATTAAAATAGTGTTGCCTAATATACACTACCAGAGGCATATTAAATTCTAAAAAATTTGAATTTTGTTATTAATTACTCACCCAAACCAAAGTACTGGTTCCGACTCATTAAAGTATTGATACAAAAAAAAAAAAAAAGTCTTCAGTGTTTCAATTATCAAGCTAAGAGTTTTTTGTTTTTTTTGTGCACACTTTTGTGCACTTTTCTTTAGTGTAGGTACAGTGCACACATTTGCAAGAGCATTGTGCTCTGTATACATGTCGAATACAAATGGTCTGTTTTGTTGGATGTTTTTGGCAGCTTTCCGGACTTTAAATGATTCGGGATTATTGCTGTTTATGGAGGAAAATGGGGTCTCACTTCATTTTTCTTTGACCAGGCAGTGTGTGTACAGTAT